GGGGGGGGGGCGTCCTTGGCTTTGGCGGAGGCAGCGCCTGACGGGAGAGTGCGTTGCCCCCCCGCTCAGCGCCGCGGCCGCGCTCCTCGCCCAGCTGGCCCCCCTTTGGGCGCGCGTCGGCTCAGCCCGCCCGCTACTCTTTGCTCATGGGTTGCCCACTCGTTGGGGAATGAGCGCCGGGTTTGAATAAGAATCGATCTAACAAAGACTCGTTTTAAGGGTCCGCTAAGAATTCGACCCAGCGTCTTCCGGACAAACGGTTGGCTACAATTCCTCGGCGTCTAACGCATCGCGACGTCAGGGATCTGGGGCGCCTATTCTCAAGTCCACACGAATATTTCGACAAAAAAATCAACAATTTAACTGTAGGCACTACACACACTATTTGTGGTTATGTTACTATATGTGTATGTGTACTAGTAATTTCTTGAACGAATATCACGACAGGCCGACAAGAGTCGAGGGCTTAACAATACGATTCTATCATCTTCGTCCGCGATGATGTCAATCACGAGCGTTCAAGATTGTCTGGAAGCCTTAAGAATAGGCTCCTTGGGCGGTGACTACATCGCACGCAAGAGGCGGGACTGCGACGTCCACTCTACAGACGGGGGATCCCATTAACATCCATTCACAGAATAAGGGCTACGCGTTAGTAGCAATTGGCCGCTTACGGCCGGGTTGCTCAAATTCAAGAACTAGGGCGAGGCAGCCCGCGGTGGCCCGCGCGTCTTTGTCCTTCCAATTAAAGCCGATCACGTCCCAGAGTCTTTCCTCCCCCCTCCCGCTTGGGACTGACTGAACAAGAAAAAGGCAACGGCGGAAGCCCGCAGATAAGCGCTGGGCCAGGGCATAACAAGTTGGCCGCTTAAGCAGCCCCGAATTGAGAAACGCTAATTTTAGTGACCACTACAAATTAAACTCCCTGAACTGTTCCTTTTAATTTTGTGCGTCTGAGTGTGTCTCACATTAATTTACATAACGTCAGGAATGGTTAAAAACTGTGTGACAATAGTATGGGAGAGAACCGCAATATGTGCTCGTTTTCTTCAGCTCTAAGATCCCTGGAATAACTCGTACTATATTACATTATGTTGAATTATAAATACAGGTTGCAACGAGTGTTTTGGCAAGGTTTTATACGAACATATTAGCTCCTGTGTAATAAACAATTTTTGCAATGGCAAATGAACCGCTGATTTGGCTAACATCCCTCGTCAAGCCCTACGACGTGTGATGAACGATTCCTTAAATAGCTACAGATTTTCCCCACCGAGATGACGTGCACAGGCCGTGAATCTACATTCGTCATCACAAACAAACCGGCTAAGCTCGCTCAGAACCAGCTTTACTGTCGTCTCTGCAGTGGGGTCCAGTCTGGAGGTCTTAACGTCCGACTAGGTGTGACGCCAGCTAGGTCCAAACAAAACGAGTTTCGGACCGCACGCGATGTTCCATTCCTCTTCCTTGGCCTATCCTCTCCCCTTACACACCCATTTACTACATGAACTGCACTAGGTCGGGAGATCAGTGGAGGGCTTAGATCTTATGCCGGTTGGTACAGTGGTGCCCCTCTCGGAGACCTACAGGAGAACCCTCCCCCGCAAGCCGACGGTAGGTCGGCGCCGGATCTCATCACCCAGCGGAGGGGGGACACCCCGTCCCCTCTAAGGACACAAGCCTTCCCTACTCTAATAACCAAATCTGCGGCCACGCCCGGACGCACCGATCGGCGCCGGCACTCACCTTCGGGGTCGAGGAGCCGCGTGACGCCGTACTCGCGCTCCGCGATGGTGAAGGCCGTCTCCAGGCGCTCGCGCACCACGCGCGACCGAATGTTGCGCCAATCGATGAGGTCGGGACGGTTGCGATGGATGAGGGCGTTGAAGGCCAGCCCGTCGCGCCACGACGACGTGAAGTCCGCCACGCGCACGCCGGGGTACTTGGCGGTGGAGCGGCGCGCCCAGCGCAGCAGGGCGTCGCGCGCTGACACGTTGGGCTCCTGGCCCACCACGATGTCCGAGATCTGCAACGCACACACCGAACGTCAGGCGCGATTCCGCAAGGCGTGGGGGGCATGCTCTCCCTCACTAGCAGGCCGGCCGCCGCCGTACGCACACTGCTGGAAACAGTGGTTGGAGAAGAATGGGACATTCGAAGGAAGGAAACGATTAATCAAACTGAATCAGCATGTCGCGTGCGGACACGTTAGGCTCCTGGCCCACCACGATGTCCGAGATCTGCAACGCACACACCGAACGTCAGGCGCGATTCCGCAAGGCGTGGGGGGCATGCACTCCCTCACTAGCAGGCCGGCCGCCACCGTACGCACACTGCTGGAAACAGTGGTTGGAGAAGAACGGGACATTCGAAGGAAGGAAACGATTAATCAAACTGAATCAGCATGTGAACACGTTGGGCTCCTGGCCCACCGCGATGTCCGAGATCTGAAACGCAGACACCGCTCGGTCAAGCGAGATTATTGCAAGGCACGGAGGGGGG